CTCACGGTTTTGTGGAGAATAAGGAAGGGAGTTTAACATGCAAGCTTTGATTCTTTCTCTAGATGCTTTAAGACTTTGAGAGAGGGGGGGATTGTGTTTTATTCTGAATTAAAAGAAAAGCATTCAGTCTTGTGTTGGTGATTGTCTTTGCGCATGGAGTGAAAGAGAACAAAACGATAGGCTAGTTTGTATGCTGAACCAAGGACCAAACATCAGCTTATTTTGCTCCTATGTGCGCACTAGGGGGAGGTGATTAGGATGAGTGTGTGTGTCTTTTAAACAATGAACAAACATGCATTCTAATTTCATTGAGATAGACTAGGGATTAGCTAATAGTTTTGGGCTAACTTGGCCTCCCCCCCCCTCCCCCAAAAAAAAACATTTGGGCCGAAGCCTAAAGGGGTAGATGGGGTCCAATTTCATTTCCTAATGAGTATTACTTCATGTAAGCTACTAATTATTAACTAGGGTTTTTGTTTTGTTATGATTAAATTAATCCCAATCCTTTTTAGCTTTGGTTTTAAATTCCTAAAATACATACTCATCCATAATTGCAATTAAGATAATTTTCCTAATTTAGTTTAATTCCACCCTAAATATATTGGATTTGGAATTCCAAAACATGCTTCACATTCCTAATTGCAATTTATGTAATTTCCTAATTATGTGGGATGTTACACTCTCCCCACCAAAATTTAAAGTTTGTCCCCAAACTTCATCCTACCATCCAGAAAACTGCTTAAGTCGAATACTTAACACAATTGCATCCCTGCAATACATTATATTAGATTCAGATAGGCATCTATAAAAGTCACCAATCATTCATTAGAGGCTTTACAAACAGGTTGCCCTTTATAAGTTCATTATATATATATATATATATATATATATATATATATATATATATATATATATATATATATATCACAAAATTTTACTCACACGGAAGGGAATAAAATTTTTCCTAATCTTAATCATAACAAAACAAATTTCTAGTTTCTTTTTAGACGACATCAAAGATCATACTGCAACAAAAATGGAGTAAAACCGACAGGTAGTCTCACTAAACAAGGAAACTCCAGCTATCCATAAATCATACTGAGACTCGGGGCTATAATATATAATTAGTTGACAAACTAGACAAATCCATTTACAAAACACTTCTTCACTATATAAACATTATACTCGATAGTTAAACGAAAACAGCCAACTAGGTTTCCACGTTCATGATCTTTTATTAAGACCCTAAAGAAATCCTATTCTAGTGCCTAAATACGATATGAATCCGGTTCCATGCCTGTATACATTTGTGATTATCCCTTAATATTCTTATTTATGCTCCTTGTTTCTTATGTGTGTCAATATCGATCCATGCCATCCTCTTACTTATGTACCTGCTATACTTACGATACTCAAAATTGCACGTCATCAACTACAAGATAGCTCTATAATTTTATGCATAATTGGTTGAAAGTTAACAATTCAGTTTATAAGGTTACTTCACGAATGATAACACACAAACAAAGTTTCACGATCCTAAATTAGACAATTTAAACGACTAGACAATGCCTGCCTATTACGTGCGCAAACAGAGGCTAATTAACTAGGACCTTTAATTACAATTATTTTATCTTTGGAGTTTACATGTTACAAATTAGAATTTCAACCACTTCCTACTGACTCCTTACCTATGATAAAAATTTAAGTCAGTAAGTACATCACATTTTTGCATTATATTCAGATTCCACAACTAATTACCTTACTTGATAAACATCACAAACAGAATTCCACAACATAACAGTCTACAGAAAATCAAACAAGGAAATCAATACACATCGCATTCCAAATTAATGGTCCTAAACCCTAATTAGGTCAAATTTTAGGGTTTAAGAGTTAATTAATCAATTATGCTTAATCCACCTCACTTAATCCCTTCATTAGTGTCCTAATTAAGTCTTAGAAAATATTTCAAAATTCCAAACCTTAGGTTACACGATATGGCTAAATTGCATAGTGCACAAAGTTAGAGTTTTTAGTTGTCTTTTTACACTCTTACTTGGTTTAATCAAGTACCTCAAGTCATTAGTCCACAAAGGTGTCATCTTTACTATTTTTGACCATCTATCCCTAATTTAAATGAATAGGGAAGAATCATCAAGGTTGGTTTTAGGGTTCTTAGTTCATCCATTTCAAGAAACAACTCACACAAGCCAAAGGTGATACTTTTTCTTAGAAGTCTTCATCTTTCTTGAGTTTAAGACTTCCACCAACACATTTAAACACCAAGACTTCATTTTTAAAAAATACAACATCATTAACACCATATAATCATCATGGCCAAAATGGAAAGTGGGAGGAAGAAGGGTTTGGAGTCATCTTTTCCATGGATTCAAGCCTTACTTCTCCAAGATGGCTCCTTTAACTCAAGCTCAAGCCTTTTCCCACCAAGAATGCTTCTTTTTCACCAAGAACACACCTTCATAAGATATTTAAGAATTTAGAACCAAGAACATAACTTAAGAAAAGTAAAGGTTGGGTTCTTCAAGAAGAAAATGCAAGGAACTTACACTAGAAACTCAAAAAATGACCAAAGGAGGAGTGTTCTTCAACAAGGAGCTTCAACCACCATTTTTTGCCATTAAAGAAGGTATTGCAGCTGCTGTTTGGTGAGAGTGCAGCCACGAAAATGAGGTTACAAGGTTAAAAAATACAAGCTTTCACAAGTTCAAGAGCTAAGGAACAAGATTGGTGAAGAGTGTTTTGGATTTTGATGAAGTTTAGGTGGTGGAATCTTAAAGAGAAGGTGGAGAAAATTTGAAAACTCAAACTTAGAGAGAGGGGGGGCTGCTTGGGTGCTGATCAGAAATGAGGGGAAGGGTCCTTTATGTTTTTAGGGTTTATGCCATGTCATTAAGTGGCTTTCTGTCATTTAGTGACACCCGGTGTAATTTTTCTTCGAACTGTTATCAAATTTTTACTCGAAAACCCCTATGATCCCAACTTTAAGTAATTAATATTAAGGTTTTTTGATTAACATATTTCTAACTCAAAAAATCTAATTAGTAACTCACAGATACGCTTACTGCTGTTTAACTACACTGTAGTCTTTACCAGTATCCTTAACTGCCGGACTTCATAACTTTCTTAATTTTTATATCATTGGTCTAATTATGACTTGTTTGACATATACTGGACTTATATTCTCTTTTATCATCTTTTTTTTTTATTTCTGTACTATACCAGCTGCTATCACAGCAGTACAAATTTTCCAGTAATAATGATTTTATCAAAATACCTTAATATGTGTATTAGAATTCACATAATCAAATCCTCTTATTATTTATGATAATTATATCCTTAGAATAATCTTTTATCTCAGATTCCCTGATTAGGGTTAGTCAGATACCTATTACTGGCTCAACAGTACAAACTATTAGGTCAAGACTCACTTTCTCATAATACCCACAATATGCGTGTCAATCTTTACATAATTGAATTCTAAACTCATCTATGATATTGATATTATTAGAGTAACTCACTAACTCTGATTCACTTGGTTAGGATTATTCTACTGTCTATTGCTGCATCAGCAATCAAAATTAACATGCAGAAATCCACCTGTTTAAAATACCAACAATATGGATATCAAAAATCATATAAATTTTTCCTCATCTCATCAATGACCTTTAGGTCCTTATAATAACTCTCTAATTTTGAATTATCCAAATTAGGGTTATTATAATAAACAATACCAGAGAATAAAAATCGTTGTCATGCACACCTAATTATTCACTACATAACAAATGCAACACAAAACATATATATCCCTTTGCTTGTCTATCATAAAGTTTAATAACATATAATAATAAATCAAATAATAGCAATGATTAATAAATCATAATAAATATTAAAATTATGTAAAAAAATATGTAAAAATTATAAAATTCGCACAATAATAATCTTATATATTAATAGATTTGGAGTTCTTCAACTCATGAATTGTGTTAATAGACTCAATCTATTACAAATGTTTTATAGGATAACATGTCTACTGTAAAAATTTATAAATAGCTGTCTAGCCAGGATTCAAACTCGAATTTGAGATTATTGATTAAGTTGGAACAATCCCTTAGGAGTTAATCTACGTGATTGGTGGTTAATACTCATGTTTATTTATGAGCATAAATCATCTTTGAGTGGGATTTAAAGCCTTAATCTTGAACCCGTCACGAACAGGATTGACTCTTGTGGAGGATGTTTGTGGTTTATCCAATATATATATATCAGAATAATATTTCTGCAGTTACTGCAGATAAGTTATCTGCATTTAATCTCAAAACGACATCATTTTGGGATTGAAAAATTAAATAATTATAATTATAAAGATATAATAATCCTGAAATAAATTAAAATTATAAAAATACCATGATTTCCGTCCCAAAATGACGTCATATTAGGCTTACTGCTGATAATTTATCTCCAGTAACTGTAGAAAAAGTGAACCATATATATATATATATATATATATATATATATATATATATATTATATTAGGATCATTTTACACCAATGTAATACTAATAAGTCTTACGTCACATCTCAACCATTGATTTTCGTGCCTCCAACGGTTTTTATTTTTTTTCCAAAACAGTATTGTCATTATACATCATGAAATTGTTATTATTACAAAATCCATAATTACATCTATAATTTAAAATCTAAACCTATATCAGTTAAGCTCCAAATGCCATAATTTTCTCGTTTCCTAGTACCAATAACCCATTTTCTCTCTTTTCATTTTCTTGGCAAAATATTCACAAGTCACAACCCACAAAAACAAATGATTAAAACTACTTCATAGAAGCTTAGTCTTTATTATTTATTAAACCAACCAGAGGCAATATTGCCAAAGGTACAAGATAGCATTCCAACATCCAACCAATAATACAAGTAAAATTAAAAGACCAAAACAAAGAAACTGGATTCAAATTTAACACAAGCTACAGCCCAAGAGAGAATGGGAATCCAGTAGAGCCCAACCAGCTAGAACCTGAAATGAAATTCCCAGGAGTAAAAGACTGAGCCTCAGTAGCACTAGTAATGACCTTAAACCCTTTCCACTTAACCCTCTTTGAGGTGGCAGCACCAGCCCCAGTGTTCTGATACTCCCCATAAAACAAAGTATTCAATGCAAAATCCCCATCCCACTCAAACCACCCAGCAGGGTCAATAACATCACTTATAGTTGATTGCATTATCACAGTCCTAGAATACTCCTTCCAAGGCCTACCAAGAAAAGTAGGGAAGGTGCCCTTAACAGCTTCCAAATCCTTGGTAGCACCAATCCTACATTTTTGGATAACAATGCCAGTGTTTTGGTTAGGGTCAACACGACCTTGTGCTGTGACCATGTTTTTTTGTCCTGCATTTGGACGCCTAGCGTGGATGTCACAATTTTGTAACACAACAGCTGAATTGCCAAAGATGAAATCGATTGTGCCTGCTATGTAGCAGTTCACAAAGAATTGGCGATTGGTGTGGACATAAAGGGTGTCTTGGTATGCTATGAAGCCACACAAGTAGAATGCTGAGAGGTCACCACCAACTCTTAGTGCCACTGCTTGGTGCTTTGATGGACCTGCTGCATTCTGGAAAGTTATGCCTCGTGCTAAGAATCGTTCACCCACTACGGCTGCAACCACATAATGAGAATAATAATGCTGTGATTTGCCGTTTACATATTAGAAAAACGAAAGAAATTTATTACTAAAGAAGCTGAGGCGGAACTAGATGAGTATTCGATTAATTGGTTCCAGTGGCTGATTGAAAAATTACCAATCTTTTTTTTTTTTTTTTTTATAACAAAAAATTACCAATCTTTACCATTCTTTTATGAGGACGGGGTAGCTATCAAACTCTTGAAAATCTGCCACTCATAACAATGGACTAAAGCCGAACTAGAAAGTTTTAGGTTCAAAACTCAAACCGTTTTATTATTGTCATTATAAAAAACAAAATGTTAGCTAATTCACAAAACAAAAAAACAAGTCTCCTTTAATTCAAGGTGAATGTTCCGTTTATAAATTTCTTTTTATAAATTACACTAAGTTTCACTGGTTATACACTCTTGATTAAAGTATGACCGGTGAGATATAGTATAGTTTGTATGAGTTTGTAAACAAAAAAGTTTGTAAATATAACCTCCCCATTAATTTAATATAACATTACTTTCTATATGTGTTCTTTGGCTCAAGATCCCTGAAGATAAAACTGTTTGAACATCTCAACTTGATTTAATTTTAAGTTTTTGGCGAGGGGGCACAAAAAATTTCTTAGCCACATTCACATGAAAATGAGTAGGTCTCATTAATTTTTTCTTTCTATTTTTTTTACAATGAAAATCACTCTATCTGATTATGGCAGGAAAAAATATTGTCTGTATCAAAAATACAAATATTTTCCCCTTTTAATGATAGGAACAGAAAGGATTTTATTTGAATGGTTGAATCTTGTAATAGACAACCTTATCCATTATCTTTGACATCTAAATGTGGTTGAATTACCATTTTACAGAAATAAATATGCACTTATCAGTTAATAATAACTATTTTTTTTTTAGAAAAAAAGAGAAAGAGAAAGAGATTGTGATTTATTTATTTTTGATACAAAGAGATTGTGAATTTTAAAACAAAAAATAAAGTAATGAACTTACCTACAGTGGCAGAGTTGAAGGTTGTACTTCCATCAACAACATTTCTACTTGCTGTGATGATAGTTTTGGTTCTACCATCACCCAAGAACATGATGTTGGTCTTCCTGCTTGGCACATCCACATTCTCTCTGTATACTCCTGCTTTGATCTTAATAACATATCTCTTGCTACTCCGCTCAGGAGCTGCAGCCACCGCAGCTGACACCGTCCTGAAGTTCCCGCTGCCATCCGCAGCCACCACCACGTCAGGATTCACCGTACCCGACTGCAAAAGCCGTCTGTCCACGGCAGAAATCCACTCCGGCCACTTTATCCCATCTTCTTCTGGCAAGTCACTTGAGCTGCCGGATGAAGGTACATGAATGATTTTATTATATCTCTCGACATTTGCGGTTGATTTCGCAGACGAAGTTACATGAATGATTTTATTATATCTCTTATCATTCACCATCAGCTTCCTGTTATTGCTTCCCACCATCTTATTCTTCTCATAACTGGCCATGTCAGTATCAGTGAGATTCTTTGTCATGGCCAATGCATTGCTGCACAAGTGCTCAGCATGCACTTGTCCTGCATCAAGAAATTTCCTAAGGATTTTGTCAGCAGCAGCATGAGAGAAACCATCCAAGCAAGTAACTTGGTTGGTTATGGCAGAACTGATTAGAGTCTTAAGATCTTCAGCTTGTTGAGGCAAAGACTTCTTGCTAGAAGGGTAATCTTTGAGGTCATCCTTGGCCTTGTCAAGCTCATCGAGGGTCTCATCAATGATTTCCAAGCAATCATGGAGCGCGGTTTTCGCCCTCTTGGTGAGACCCTTTCGTGTTAAGAGCTTCTCAATGGTGAAGTAATTGCGCTGAACTATTCCAATGGTTTTGTTCAAGGACAACTCTATCACATTTATGTGGCTGGAAACTTTTTGTGAAAGGGAAGGTTCGGAGGCTATGGTTGAGAAGCACAATTCTGGGTACAATGTACTGCTGCAAGCACTTCTTATGATGGCGTGGGATGTGGACTTGTCATTGTTGTCGTAGGAGCTCTTGTGGGAGCTTACTATGGCGACAATGGCGACCACAAGAACCAAGGTAGCAAAGAGAGCCAAGAAGAGCTTCTTGTTGTTCTTCTTGGACAAGGAATCAGAGATTCTGGCGAAGGTTAGTTTGATGTTGCTCATTGTATTGGTGCTTTGAGGAACTTAAGAGGGTTGAGAATGTGTTTTGGAGAGTTACAAAGGAAAGTATTTATATTTGCAAACGAAGGGTATTAGTGTTGGGAATATGCTTTCACTGCTAAATTATATAAAACAACTCTTTTTTGTTGCAAAATCTTGTCGATTCATAGAGTAATGGTCAAATTAAGTGTGAGCAGATCACAAGCAAATTTCTTCCTATTAAGTTTTTAACAATAGTGTGTACTCACAATTCAAAATCGAGATTACTAACTAAATTAGAAAAATCCATTATAAATTGATAGTTGATCCACGTGTTTGATGATAAAACAACTCTCCAAATGTTAGCTTAAGTGGCAATATAAGCCAAACGAGTTGTCAAAAAAATCAGTGGTTTGAATCTTGAATTAATTCGATTCGAGATTAATTTCATATTTATGCTAGTGTTTTTTTCCTTGCCAGTGTCGTGAGAATGAATACCCGTGGATCTGATTTGTGAAAAAATGAGTAATTAGAATTATAAAATTCAATAATAATAATAAAATAATAATTCTACATTTTGAATTGAATCAATTAATTCATATATACTACAACATTACACATTAAATACGTTATTATAACGGAAGAGTTTAAGAAAATTCATTGATTTAATTAAAGTGCAAGTTGGTATTTTAAAAGAGGCTTACGTATACATATAATAAAAATAATGAACTAATTATGTCGAATCAGAAATGAATGGACACTAAAAAGAAATGAATATATTTTTTTCTTCATGAATTAGTGCTTTATTTGGATATTAAAATGAACAACGTTTGCAAAATTCGAGCCTCTCATTTGATCCAGCAATTGACATTTTATCTCAACTCCAGCCAAATCTTTTGTTTTTTTACTAACGTTGTTGTTGCTTAGCTACCGCTACCTATCGCGGATTTTTGTATATTGTTGTTTTCCCTAAAAACAAATGATGATCAAATTTGAAACGATTTGTTTATTCATGAATATGTAAGAGAATATGATAATACTTTATCTTAATTTTTTTAGGTGAGCATTTTAATATAAATGTATATTTAAAAAATAAGTAGGAACCTGTGCGCCGCTCTGCACGCTACAGCTCCGCAACCATAATTAAGTGAACTCGGAAAAAGTTTCGTCCCGCTTTCAGTTCACATCCAGAATTGAGCCTCTGTGAAGGTGATAATATATATTTTATTTTTTCAGTATTATTTTTAGAAGAAATTTAAAACTTTAATTTCAGAATTCACTTTCAATCAAACTAATCAAGAAAGCAATGAACTGTTTAAAATATCTCAAAAAAAAAAAAAAAAAAAACAACCAGGCAATTTGACCCCGAAGCTATGAGGCAATAAAAAAACAAAACTTCATCATTTCAATCATTGTGGAAAATGTATATTACACACTTCCATAATTATATATTTTATATTTATTTTTATATATTGACTTGAGTGTTTCACGATTTGCCATTTATGAAGCAAGAACAATCACTATATAGTATTAATTAACTTACTATTTTGCTTGGAAGTTTTAAACTTCGTTCCTGCAGCCTGCAGGGACTGATCAAGTAAACCAAAGCAGAACAATCACGAGGCTTTACTAACTAAACCTTTAACTTTAAATATTTAAAATTTAGTAGGGAAAAACTGTGCTTCCCTTATTATCGTGCCTGGATTGTGTTACGAATATCACAATGAGAAGATCAACTAGAGTTAAAAGGAGTGCAACACGTCTACAAGACTATGTGGCTTAAAGCTCTTGAAGTAGGCCACGTGTGACAACAGCTTCTGTTAGTTGCTTTGTTAATTGTTTCCGTGTGTATAGTTGCTGGTGAGTGTCAATAGATACATAGCCTTAAGTGTCATACAGATGTAAAGGGAATTGTATAAATATACTTGAACAAAGCCTATTATAGCAGTTAATAAAAATTCCTTGAGTTTTCCTTTCAATTTCTTTGTTCTTCCTCTGCCATTAGGGTTCATACCCTATTATTGATGCTTTCATTCTTCTCCGATTTTCCTTCCATCACTGCCATGAAGGTGCAGGAATTATCGGACGAACTCAACTCGTTTCAACAACGAGTAGATTCGACTCTCGGTGAGCTTCGTCTTCAAGCTTCTGATACGAAGAATCAAATTGTTGATTTGGTGAATCAAATGCAACAATTTCAGGAAACTTTTCTGACGCGATCTGTGCATGCAAAGGATTCTCCAATGACTCCTCAGTTTTCTTCGTCGCTTTCCACACTGAAACATCATGATGTGGGAGATCAACGTGCCTTGCTTAAAGGAGTTCGTATGGAGATTCCGCTCTTTAATGGTTAGGCACCGAATGTGTGGATTTTCAAAGCTGAGCTATTCTTCCATCTCCAACACATTCCTGAAGAATCTAAGGTTCCTCTAGCTGGTATTCGCATGGAAGGTATGGCTGCCGCTTGGTTTCAGTGGAGGTTTAATAGTGGAACTATTAATTCTTGGAAGGTTTTCACTGTAGCCTTACGCCAACGTTTTGGTACTTCCACTTTTGTAAGTCTTAAAGGTGCCTTATCTAAGCTTACTCAGACTTCAACTCTGAGTGATTATATTCAACGCTTTGAGTCCTTGGTTAATCAAGTTCCTGAATTGGATGATGATTTACTCATGCATTTTTTTGTTTCGGGACTGCAAGCTGAACTCCGTAGTGCTGTGCAATTGAGAGCACCACTCACCTTGCATCAAGCGATCCAATTGGCCATGGCTTATGATGATCATCATGGCGAGCTTCGAGTTTCTTTTGCTGCGGGTTCAAAGAAATTTTTTCCTCGAGCTTCCGTTCCTGTTGAGAATACTCCCATAACTCAACCAATTTCTGCTTCAAACCAGACCCGACCATTGGCACTACCTCCTCCCTCGAATTATAAACGTGTACTCAATGAGGATTTATAGAGGAAACGAGAGTTGGGGCTTTGCTATACCTGCGATGAGAAATGGGCCAAACAGCATCGATGCAAGTCTAAATTGATGTTGTTCGTTGGGGAGGAGATTTTTGATGAGGTTGATACTGAGGATGAACAAATCCTTTGGCAGGCAGATTCAGGTTTGAATGAAACTACTGATGCATCATTACATGCCTTGGGTGTAAATGATCATCAACATTCCTTGACCTTCGTTACATCCTTACACGACACTGTTATATCTGTTTTGGTGGATTCTGGCAGCACACACAATTTTATTCAAAGTCAATTAGTTGATCAGCTTCACTTGCCCACAGTACACTCACAGAAGCTTCGTGTCTTTCTTGGTAATGGGGAAATTTTTGTTTTCAGACCGTAAATGTTTGCAAGTGCCTATTAAGTTGCAAGATGTCATGTTTCATGTGGATTTTTGGGTTATTGAGCTCGCTACTCTTCATGCCATTTTGGGTATGCCTTGGCTTGAATTACTTGGGAGAGTGACTCATGATTATAGACGGTTAACTATGGAATTTGTGTGGGAAGGATCACCTATTGTTCTTCAAGGAGTGCATTCTTTGGAGGTGACCAATTCTGCTTCAGGGGAAGGCAGCCTGGATTGTGCTACGTGTTGTGCTTTGGAGTTGCTGTCAGATGAAGCACAAGGGGCTATTGTCAATTCAGAGCTTTTGTCACTTAAGGCTAAGATTGACTCTAGGCTATGGAATGTGATTGTGTCTTATCAGGAGGTGTTTGCTGTTTCCTCTAAGCTTCCCCTTTTCGTGGGATGGATCATTCTATTCAATTGTTGGAAGGGACCAATCCAATTAATGTTAGGCCATATAGGTATGCTCACTACCAAAAGACTGAAATAGAGAAACAGGTGGGGGAACTGTTGAAGTCAGGACTGATTCAGAATTCCCATAGTCCCTTTTCTTCCCCAGTTTTATTGGTAAGAAAGCAAGACCACACTTGGCGGTTGTGTATAGACTATAGAGCTTTGAATGCTGCCACTATAAAGGATCGTTTTTCGATTCCCACAATTGATGAATTATTGGATGAATTGGGCGGAGCCACTATATATTCTAAGTTGGACTTGCGGGCAGGGTATCACCAAATACGGATGAGTCCAATTGATGTGTCGAAGACTGCTTTTAGAACTCATGAAGAACACTACGAGTTCTTAGTTATGCCCTTCGGTTTAACTAATTCTCCCGCAACCTTCCAAGCTATGATGAATCACATATTCAAGCCTTACCTTCGCAAATTCATAATTGTATTTTTTGATGATATTTTGATTTTTAGCAGTCCATCTTGGAGCATGTCGAGCACCTAAAGCTGGCTTTACAATGTTTACAACAACATCTGTTTTTTGCGAAGGTTAGCAAGTGTGCCTTCGGAGTAGATACAATTGAATATATGGGGCATGTTGTCTCTAGGCAAGGCGTTTTTGCTCTCCCTCTCACAGATCTGTTAAAGGGTGTTGGCACTTTTTCTTGGCCCACCACAGCAGCAACAGCTTTTGGGCAACTCAAGGAGGTGATGACCTCTACTCCAGTTCTAGCTCTTCCAGATTTTGAAGCTCCTTTTGTGGTGGAAACTGATGCCTCTAATACTGGTATTGGAGCTGTTCTTTTACAACATGAAAAGCCTCTTTCATTCTTCAGCAAGAGATTGGGTACTCGTATGTCTCATGCCTCTACATATGTGAGAAAGCTATACGCTATTGTAGCTGCCATCAAACGCTGGCGAAAATACCTTCTTGGTTCTGAATTTACAATTAGAACGGATCATCAAAGCATCAAAGAAATTCTGAATCAAACAATTCAGACCCCGGAGCAACAGAAATACTTGAGCAAGCTAATGGGTTATACCTTTACCATTGAGTATAAGGCTGGCTGTTCAAACAGGGTGGCTGATGCTTTATCTCGAGTTTATGAGAACGGTTCTGTGAATGCCTTGTTGTCCCAGCCCTTCTTTGTTATTTTGAATGCTGTGAGACAACAAAATATTGCAGATACTTATTTGTTGCAACTGCATCAGCAGTGTCGTGATGGAGCAGTGA